ACCTTGACCTGGTTGATAGATATTATCTATTGAGAAATAGCAGTATTGCTCTCATTGTTACGAGTTTCATGTACTATGGTAGTAAGTGGTGTAACGGGAAAGGCCCATCCGTGTACACACATTTACTGAGAAAAGCTTAGGACAACTGACATACCCCACCGCGTGTTGCGCGCTTCCAGCTGGCCCTTTACTTACTGCATTTACTATTATAATCAATAAGCTTTGAGCCTCCTTAACCTGATAAGAGCCTCCAGTTCTGATACAATAGAGTTAAAAGGGGATATATAGCTACACAAGGTGTACAGATAATGTGAGATACACTCATACGTGGGTTTATCCAACTTCTTCAAAAAAATATTCCTCTTCCACTCTTCGTCGTGCTCTGTCCTACTCTCCCTGTAGTGACAACTCACACAGCTGCTCCACATGAGATTTTTGTCGCCGTCAATCTTAATAAGTGATACTACGGCATTCAGCGCATTGCGGTATCGTAAACTAGATCGTCGTGACGACTCTCACGATAAGCGTGGTGGTTTCGCCCTAGAGCTCCATGAACACTCTAGTTAAATCCTCAATTGACTAATTACTCAAATTACATACTTTCGCGTCATCGGGCCGATTTCCCGTGCTAAAGCTGAGCCACGAAGCCTCACGTATGTACCATACGTTCAGCAATCTAATATGGACTTCCATCAGATAATCGACACTCGATTCTGGGTACCGTAGATAACCACCGTTTGCAAAGCGCGAGCACCGCTCATATACGATTTCGATTTGTAAATTTCACAGCGAGGAAACGAATTCACTCTGACAGCGAAGATGCTCGTTAAGTACGTGTGGTCATACGTCGGTTTCACGATGAAGGAAACACATGTCCGAGGCTTTCATGGACTCTCCTTCCCTTCCAAATAAGACTGCGTTACATCCAGTTAAAAATTGCGCCGTCCCGATGATAGAGGTTGAGCGCCCTTTGTAGAGCGTTGAATGTGTCCTTAGGCCAGTACGGCAGCTTGATAGTGGAAGCACTCACATGGCATGATTCTACTTAAAATGGATCGATCAAGCGAGCGAAAAGCTTTGAGCTTTCCATGATCAAAACCGCATCGTGTGATATGTTATAAGTTTAATGCAGTATATAATTCTGAACAATAAAAGACATTTTGGCTTGACAGCCTCGGCTATCTGCGTATTTCTTTTGCGAATCTTGTGCATTTGCCATTCCGTCCCACACCCGTATTATCATATTTACACGACTCATGATTAATGAGCTCAGAGCATTCTTGTCTTCGCGTTTCACATGTGTATTATTGATTGTGTCGATTTGGAAAGTTACGATTTGCCAAGCTTCTCTCTCGCGTAAATCAGAGGCACCACCTGTCGCACAAAGCGGTGTTCGCGGGTGTCGCAAGCCTTATCATGAGATGAATTGTTCATAGCAAACTCAATCAATGGTAAACAATCCATTCTGCGAAATTTATCGCAAAGAAGCTTCTCAACACACCACCGACCAATCGGTCAACACATTCTGTTTGTCCATCGGTCAGATCTAAGCGAGTGCCAAGATTTCGGAACAATTCGTCCAGAACCTTACTCATGAATCGTGTTTCACGGTCAGAGAAAATGGCTTCTGGTAATATGTGATTGCGGAAACGGGTGATCTATGAGTGATTTAGCCGAACCTTGGGCAGTGATGGAATTGCTAAACGGAGCGATGCAGACTACCTTTGATAGTTTTCAATCAGAGAAAATAACTCATTGTGGTCATCAGTATTCTCGGGAAAGCCAACAATCTAGTCGAGACTGTCTGTTGAACGTCAGTCGGAGCAGGAAGACTCTGCGGTGGCATTTGCGTATTCCGTACGCGCTTCAGGCGCTGACAGACATCGCATATCTACACGTATCGCTGTCATGAAGGGCCATCAAAATTGGGTACCAAGAGACTGATAAATATTCTCACGGCCAAAGTGGCCAGCTATCGGCCTATCATGCGCCTCGTACACTATATTGTACGTAAATCATCGTTGTAGGGAGCCAAAATCCGTGGCTAGTCGAATGCGCAAATTCATAGTGATGGAAACCATACTTTCATGCACACCGATGCAATCTTTATTCCGAGCGACCAGGAAGCTTGTTATGAAATTCATATAATTCTGATGATCAGATCACACTGTTCGACTACAAAAAAAGCTCGACAAAATATATCGAATACATCGTTTTCGATGTAGCTGGTATGAGCAAGATCATCATCAGGACGACGTGGCAATGCGTATGCCAGAACGTCCCGTTTCTTGTTTGTGAACATGAATATTGTATTCTGCGATAAATGACAACCAGTGAGCTCTTTGTCAGATCTTATTTATTGCCAAAGTTCCTTATCGTGGACAGGGTATTTTCTCTCTGCTGACTGCAGGTGTCGTGATTTAAACGACACGATCATGTCCTATTGAGTCCTTTTGCAAACCACACAACCGATTGCAAGTTCAGAAGCTTCGTATACCACACCATACTACTTTGCATCGTGAGGTGGAGTAAGCAACGGGACTCTTATTAAGCTGTTCTTGATTTGAGCGACTGCTTCTTCACAAGCAAAATGTCCATTTCCGTGGTACGTCTTCCTTCACCAAGTTTGATAGTGGGCGTACCATTTCCGTGTAGTTACGTGAGAAGCGATGCAGGTAATTGTACACACCATCAAATCCTTTTGATACCGTGGCGCTGGTCACTACACAATTGCTTTACCTTCTCAATGTCCGCATGAACACCGCGTTCGCCAACATAGCAACCGAGGGCCGGTGCTTTAAAATACACTTTACAATATTCGCTTGCAGTGAATGTTCGCGCATGCCTTTTAAGACTGCACGGCGGTGCTCCAAGTGCATTTCTTTGGCAGATCTGCCATCTTCGTCATTTCAGTAAGCAAAAAAGTAGTCAGTGTATGTTTGTGGGAAGTGTCACATTGGCCGAAAGAGATGGAAAACCAATCGATTGAGCGTTGCTGGGGCATCCAATAGACTCTGTGGTACTACAAACCACTCTCATAACATACCGGACGGTGTACAAACAACAGCCAAAGAAACGTCCTCCTCCCTTGTCTAAATTAATTACCAAATCAAGTGCATTAAATTGTGTACAGCCAGACATACGGTATAATTTTCCATGGTATCCGAACTCACCTTTGTGAATGTGGTGAACGTCGCATCAAATGCGATTTCGATATTGCGTAAAAAGCGAGAATTCGCTGCACTTCATGTAATAGTTGTTCAATTGCACCAAGCGTACTTGTCTTACGAGCATACTCACATCAAGAAACCTCATTCTTGCGTACTCAAGTGCGGCTTAACGAGCCTCTTAGAAAATAGAGGAAGTGAACAAGCACATTTAATCGCTTACTTAAGAAGGATAAATTTGTCAAACAGTAGTGTCTACTTCCGTGACTATCTTAGTAGCTGGTGTCTTTTCAGGTGGAGTATAGTCCGGAACACCGCGCGTAAATGATGGATGCTTCGTGATGACGAAATAGTTAAAATATGCATTTGAAAAGCCTGCAAGTGACACAAGAATGCCATAAATGCCGCACATGCCGAATGGAAAGATGGAGATCCTAAAAACGCATTCGTTATTAAAGTTCACATCCGTACAAGACAGTCAGCTAAAGGAGATACGAACATGCTCAGAAAAAGGCATCGTCCCCAGGGACTGTACATAAAGCCAAAGCTTCCACGCAGCATCTTGTCGATGTAAGCTGTTCGCAGCTCATAGCCCACCAATATTAGCGCAAAAAAGCTTAAAAAAGGCATATATCAGTAGCCATCACCATTGCAAACAAAATACGTCTACACCAAATTCTTACATGGTGTATAGGACCGAGAGTGCATCTGCCATAACAGTAAATGCCGAACTTGATCGGATCACTTGTCCCACCGCAAGCGCAATCATACAGCTGGCCATTGTTAAGTTGGCAATACGCATGCTTGATAGTACTCCCGACACTGAAGAGCCCATAATTCTACGACAGCATTAAAAACTTGGTTCAGCACGTGATGTAAATAAAAATATTCTTGCATACAAGACGTACACTTCCCGAGCTTTGACCTTGATCTCCACCCACACTTCGCTGAGAGTTATAGCATCTGCCAAATTTGTCACTTTTCCGGCAGCTGACGGTGGTGGAGGTGGTAACTTCAGGTCATCCGGGTTCAGCGGAGGTAACTTTCCATACGTTGTGCTGCATTAAGGATAATCAGTTATATGACTTTTCGCCTACCACATGCAGTAACGTACTCAGTGCCTAGCGGTCCAGCGTTGAGCACAGTGCCTCCTAAGACAGAGGCGTTGGCTTCGGGATTCATTCTGCAAATATTTTCTGTGTGTCAGCCCACACGCACGAAGTTTGGAGCTTTTCCGCGCGATATAGCGTAACAATATGGGAACCGGCTTCTCGAAGAAAAGGTAACAATTTTAAAATTTACGTGAAAGGTTTGAGGTATCATAACATTGTATTTAATGTTTCAAATTTGGCGCCAAATTTGAAAATTTGGAGACTATTTTACACATGTGCATGAGAGAGCAACATTTGCTAGCGCAGCTTAACATTAAATAATAAGTTAGATGTGCTCGAGCATCTGTCGGGCGAAGGGGTGAGAGCAGCTGCCCCGTTATTGGCAGTTAATCTCAGGTAAATCCATTGAAGACATCGACGCTGTGGATGCCGTTGACACGCCACTGCATTCACTCATACTTCTGCTCCTGCGAGGAGCGCTTGCTACTTCCTTTGCGAGAGCAATCTGATTTCGACGCTTGAGCGTTTCCACACGGCATTTCATAGCCTCAACCTGCCCCAGCCACCGCACATCTCTCTCAAAGTCTAGCAATCGAGATGAAGAGTTCTCAATCCTCGTTGCAAACGCTGCGTAGCTTGTGCGCGGGCCACGAATACGAGCGGAGACTGGCGTTGGCGGGGGTACAAATAGTGGTTGTGTTATGTCGGCTACGACTGTGTAAGACATCCGAACGTGCGGCGCGCTTTCAGGCGAAGGCTTGCAAACTGACGAGGCGGCACGGTGATCCTCGCGCGATTTTGGTGGCGGAATTCTGCTCAAAGGAAGCGAGTATTCTTGAAACTTTGGCAGCAATGACTCCATATCACTCGTGTCCTGATTACTTAGTTGATTGATGACCTGATCCTTTGTCTCCTCTGCTTTCTGCAGTTTGTCCTCCTCAGCCTGTTCCTGCTCATGACGTCCCTGTTCCCTTTGCTGTTGAGATCTTTTTTCCTGCAGCTCGGATCCATCCACGACGGGCTCACCCCGAACGATCGGAACTGTTGAAGTAGAAAGAGTAATCTGCGCTTCCTTAACTACCCCCAAGGCATCATAGTATGTCACAAGTCCTTGTACGTTGCCACGTCTAGGAGACTCGGGAATATAGTCGTGCACGTCTGAGCCCATAGAGCCGGCCATGTTTTCAAACATCGCTACGATGCTGCGCACTGTCATGCTGATAAGTCAACTTTTAGATGCACGTTTTTGATATCCTTCAAGCGTAATATATGAATGAAGAATGAAAAACTGCGCTTGAAGAACTCTAACGTAATCGACGATTGGGCGACAGAGATTCGTGTACCAAGATGACACACGTGCGAGTTAGTGGCTGGAATCACGAATTGAGGACCAGGTTCGTGTTGCACGCCTGACAGATTCAATTGGCTATTAATCAGATAGTGGGCTCGCAGAGCCGGTTTATTTTGAGCTTGGGGTGGACCAGGAGCGTATAGGACCTCGAGGACGACGGAGCACATAGTCTATCAGCAATTTATAGCATGGCGCGCTCTCCACAGCCTACGATCATGCATGCGTGAAACTCAAGTCAAATCATCTTGCAGTTGCACGTCGAGCCAACGATATTAATCCCCATCTGGTGACAATCTGACAAAGACTCAAATGATGTGGTGCACGCCATGTAGCACCTTCAACTGATAATGTAGCAAACATAATGTATCACCCATATTTTACTGTGAAATCTTTTAAATCATGGAGTTGGAGGTAGGTGCCCGCGTGGCCTTTGGCGCCGGCAGAACGGGAATTGTGCGCTTTGTTGGTGAGACAGATTTTGCTAGTGGTGAGTGGGTGGGCATTGAGCTAGATCAACCGGAAGGGAAGAACAACGGCGAGCTAAATGGCCGCGTCTACTTCACATGCGCGCCCGACCACGGTCTGTTTGTTAAAAAGTCGATGGTTCGAACGCTTTTATCAAGTGCTTCTTCTGCGGTTAAGACACCCTCGATTCAGCGACTCTCTAGCGCAAATAGTGTCTTGTCAGGCACTGGATCATTGTCGTCGTCGCCCTCTGTCTCCACCGTCTCTAGACTCTCGGCACCCAGAACACGATCTTCAGTAATCGCACCAAGCAGCAGATCCAGCATATCCACAACATCAGCGACCAAATCTAGACTTTCGCTGGATAAACGGTCGTCCATTGGTAGTGCAACGTCAGGAAGTAGCTTGGCGTTGGATGATCAGCTGATTGAAGCTAAAGCGCGCATTAATAAGTTGGAAGAAGAGCTGGAGCAAAAAAGTCGCCATGTAGAGCAGTTGAGACAGAGCGTGGTGGTCATGAAGGAAGCGGTGGCAGCTAATAATGATAAGAATAATTCATTAGAGCAGCAAGACTATGAAGATATTGACGAATTGACTCCCAAAAACGATGATACCCAGATTGAGGCTGATGGAGACGAAGCGATGCAAGAAGTTAACGAAATCGATATCGATAATAGTGAGTACTCGCGGGAGCAATTGGCGCAGCAAATTGAAAATATTCGCGGAGAAGCCGAAGAACACGTAAGGTCTGTGCGCGCTGAGCTAGAAGATCATATTGCGGAGCTAACCGGTGAACACGACGAGCAGATCGATGAACTTCGACTCGAAAATGCCACGCAGGCGTCGGAAATAAAGACGCTAGAGGCAGAAGTTGCGCAACAAAAAACACGAATTGCAGCATTTACAGCTGCAGAACAAAAGAAGGCAGAAGAGGTTGCAATGGCCGTAGCCAAAGCGAGTTCAGGAGCTCGTAAAGTAGAGGTGTTGGAAAAACAGGTTGCCGAATTGCATGACATGATCGAACTCATGACGCTAGAAAAAGAGACGATTGAAATGGATAAAGAAATTGCTGAGGAACATGCTGAAGATCTTCAACAGGAAGTTGAAAAGCTAAAAGCTGCGATGGCGCTGTCAGCAACGACGGGACCAGCGTACGCGGAAGGATCACCAGGTAATGTAGGAGGCTTGGCCGATGAGAACAATAAGCTTCGAGCAGCTGTCAAGATGCTGCACGAGCGCGCTTCGGAGGAGAAGGCGGAACTGAGCAAGAAGCTTAGACAAGCGCAACGGGAAAATGCTGAGCTGGTGTCATTAAGGGAAGAAGTAGAAGAGCTGGTACGTTATCAAGTGGTTATAAGCTTAGAGAGCTGCTGACAATTACGTTTATGTAGAGCACGACAAAATCAAATCTACAGAGCGAGATGGAAGAGCTCAAGGAAATGCTGGATCTTGCAAACGCATACGAGTCCATGGTGGAAGAATTGACCGAGAAAAATTTAAATCTTGGTGAGAAACTAGCTGAGCTTGAGACTACCGTTCAGTCTCTTGAATCGTTGCGTGAAGTGGACCAAGAAATGGAGCATCAACATACTGAATATGAGGCAGAACTGCGGGCCGAAATTGACACGCAACGAGCAATGCTGCAGGAATTCAAACAAGCGGCGTTGGATCAGAAAACAGTGGTTGAAGACAAGGAACGTACGATTGCCCGCTTTCGTGACCTTGCACATAGTCATCGCGAAGAGATAGCGCAGTTGAAAGCAAAACTTCGTGCAGAGACTGGAGCAGTCGAGTCACTGAAGGATACGGCACATTTGGCGCTCAACCAATCGATGGGGCTGCGTTCATTGGTCGCTGCTGCACGTGAGCACGAGACGGAGGCAGCGCGACAAAAGATTATTGCGGAGCAAGCAAGGATTGAAAATTCATTTTTGTGTGCCGTAGTGCCCAGCTCGATTTTCTCAGAGACTGATCAAAAAATACTTCGCGTTCGGTTGACACTGGGTCGCATTGCTGGCAAATCAGACATTTTAGTGCGCTACTTGAAGAAAGAATTGGAAAGCATCGCACAACAGCAACATCCCAGTAGCCAGTTAGACAACGATAAAGATGAAAGCGTGCCCATTGCGGCCATTTCCGTTGAGCAGCTAGATCTAGGTGTCAAACTCGCGGCCGTCTCATGTCAAGTTAAGGAAGATCTCTTCATGCTCGAGTGTCACTTGACAACGGAAGAGGAGTTTGCACAAGGATGTGCTGCACTTGATACGTCCCAGACGTCAGCTTTAGAAAATTCGTTGGACTTGGCGTTATCGGCATTCTCGGAAGGTGCGTTGCTGAAAGGATCTCGCAGCGGTGGTGACGGGGCTTCATTGTATGACCGTTTCGTCCAAACGTTGGAAGAATGGCACTCAAGTCGAATCCTGCAAGTTTCACGTGCCCCTGGAGCTGAAAGTTTCGGTGCGCGTACCGGTGTGCTCAAGTTGCGTACAAGAAAGAGTGTGGCCAAGTTGGCATTTTCCATCGCGTCTATGGTAGTATTTTTACGAGCGACGATGCGTTTACTTGCTAGTTCAAGCATGCCTAATGACGATCACATTGCTGCGTTGCGAACACAGTTGATGCCAGTACTGGATCAATGTCTGGGAGAGTTGCTTTCAGTATTGAGTGTTGCACAATCGTTCTATCGTCGCGCTGAGATTGACCTCGCTGCGTCAGACGACGATCTCGATGGATTGGTGGCTGCGGGTGGAGAGGTTGTCTCCAGTATACAGAGTTATGCAACAGAGGCACAGTCGCTGGCGGCCGCGTTGCAAGTCCAGCTTGCTGAAGATGGTCTTCTGGATAACACACGAATAGAAGAACTAATGCAATTCACGCGGCAAAACGTTTACGAAGGTGCTGTGGCATTCAAAGAAAAAGTTGCATTGCTGTTTAAGCTAGTCTGTCGTGGAGCATTTACCGATTCTGTGGCACCTCGTACTCGCAATGAGAGCTCAGATGGCTCCAACGGCCGTCCACAATGGCGCATTCGTGCCCAGATCATCCACCAGGAGCTTTTAGATGCGTCCACGCTGCGCAGCAATTTATCGGAGATGACAGAGCTGTGTAACGCTTTGCATCAACGAATTAGGGATTTAGAGCGTTCGGACAGCCAGCACCGCGTGGTAGCACAAAAGCTGGAAAGCCATGTGTTGCAACTGACAGAGACTGTTGCAGCGATGACGAGTGAGAAGACACAGCTAGAGGCTCAACTTGCGAAGGAGCGTGAGCAATTTGACGTGGCACTGGATGAGTCGAATAAGGAGAAAACTTTACTAAACTCGCTTAATCGGGACCTGCGCAAGCAGCTTAAGCGGACGAGTGATGCTGGCAGCAGTAACAAAAGTGGAAGCGCAGGCTCGAATGGTCCCAAGGGCTCGACTTTAAGTGCAGGTGACGCTGAGGCATTCCGTCAGGCGTTCCAATATCTACACGCCGAGTTACATTCAGTGCGTGCAACACTTGCGAATGAGCGATTGATGAAAATTCTTGGACCAAGCAGAAGGCGCAATTCGACGCCAAAACCGTCAGATCAGGTAGCAAAGTCGCTGAAAGATGTGGCCACATTTGCACGACAGGTGAAAGCTCAGCTGTCGATGCCGCGCTTGGTGGATCTCAGACGTACTGCGGACTCTCTCACTGACACATCACCACATTCTCAATTAGTAACTGAAAAGCTACAACAGTCACGAATCCAGAGAGACCTGACTGCTTTGCGCGAGCGCGTCGGTGCGGCCATGCGTGAGGACGGATGGAGTCCGGACGTCACGAACGCTATCGCTCGTGGGGAGAGCGTGTTTGGCTGGCAACCACCAGAAATAGAGCGACCACCTGTATTGCTAGGACGCGTGAAGCTAGGCACCGAAACGACGACTACCACCCAGCATCAGCTATTGCAAGTTGTGTTGAACAGCTCTGAGGTAAAGCGTCTATCCGAAATTCTTATATGTTAATCTCGTGAAGAAATAGCCGTACACGTTTACTTCAGACATTTATGAGCGGTAACAGCACCCGTTATACGCTCTATGGTCCGAACCCGATTTATCATGCAACTTTAGATTCTTACCACTGCTCGTGGTGCTACGAAAGGCTGTGCTAATGAATTTAATCATACAATATGACAAGACTGTTACTTTACTATCAAATCGTGGTGGCTCACAGCATGAGGTCCCAGTTTGATATATCATTTTCTAACTCAACTTTCGAGTTGATTAATGCAGTGGATGAGTTTTACGATCCACACAGGAGCAGGATCGAGAGCATCATGTATAGCTAATACTAATGCCCTAAAATACTAGGCTAAACCAAATCTTATGGTTAATTTCAAAAGTGGTTCAGAAAGAAACGTTGTCAACACACCCGAACAAAATCAAGACATCAAAGTGA